TTGCATCCCCGGCCTCCTCGTCGACTGGTGCAGCACTGGTCTCCAGGGAAACAATAAGGTGGCAGTTCCAGACAGCGGCACGCTAGTCTTGAATGCTTTCTATGAGGCAATGGAAGAGGGAGGAGGGAGCTGGGACTTTGAGACGGCCGAAAATCTGGACAGACTTAAGCGTGGGATCAACATGGTTCTCAAGAAGCTCCAGCACGATGCATCTCTTGCGCTCGAGCTCTTTATCCTGGCCAAGACGATCCCTGGTTTCCAGCATGACCTGGCCAACTACTCAACGATGATCATGATCCTGGGAAACGCTGGTAACTATCTCATGGCCAAGGCACTCTTCACTGAGATTCAGGAGCTCGGGCTTTGCATCGACATGGTTGCAGCCAACAACATAATCCGCTGCTACACAAGCGTGATCCAGGATGCTCTTGACCTCCAAATTGGGAAACTCTGTGGTACCATCGGGATTGCGGTTGCTGGCAAGCATGGGAGCTTCGTGGTATTTTTCGACAGTCTCGTAACGGAGATTTCATCAGATCAAATTGGCCAACTATATCTAGAAGAGAAGGACAGGGAATACCGGAAGGTGACTGTGATTCGTGACGAGCCAGAACTACAAATCGGCATTGCTGGGTCCGTAAGTGACGCTCGCTGCATCATAATGGTACTGAAGATTGAGATGTCAAGTCAGGCTCAGCATGGAGTCACCATGACTTGTGAGGCAGCTGCAAATTTCGTCTTCCAGCGCTGCATGGCTGATGAGCACTGTACGAGATCAAGCTTTTTCATTTTTGACAACAAGAAACTCTTCGCTGTTAAGAGAGACAACACGCGCCAGTACCAGCTCTTGCAATTGGACGCAGTGGAACAGCCGTTTTTGACTATCGGTTCTGGTGGCCCGCATGCCGAAGGTATTCTGCGAGATCCACGGCCAGGTGTGGTTGGATTTTGTTTCCTTGAGATTGGATTAAGCTGCTTTTGAATTCTGCAGGGCAAGCTCACGGGAAGAAAGCCACTCTGGGCCAAATCACTAATCTTGGGCTCGATGCCCTCGCAGAAGCATGCGACAATGATCCACATTGCGGCGGAGACAAATATTATGCATATTCAAATGTTAAATCCCACTTTGAGTTGCTGCTGCTGAAATTTTCGAAGAAGAACTTCTCTTACCAATATGCGAGAAGAAAGAGACCAAGAGGTAAACTAAACATGGCTTTGTTTTAGACATTTTCTAAGGAGTAATAGCATTTTAGCACAAAAGAATGTGGCCTCTCTTAATGGAATCGTCGATCATCGCCTCAACTCTGTCACGGCGTTCTTGCCAGATACACAATGTTTGCCAATCAACATCCGGCAACCAGAAATTTCTTAAAGCTTCTAGCACTTGGCCATCCTCAGACACCTGGAGAAAAAATAAAAAGTGAAAAAAAGTCAAGAGCAGCCGCATAACATACCCTCTCCGTCCTCACTTCCATGGCTTCGTCGTTATCCTCGTCAACAATAAAGACGATCAAAGCCCTCACACCTTTTGCATCCTGAGGGAAAAATTTACCATGAGTCGCCACACTACCTTCAAATGGCACTGGCAAATCCTTTGCTGTGTAGCTCAAGAGGTAGTACTCTCGCCCACTTAGTTCATCAATCATGGCCACCTTCCCAAGTATAAAATCGCCCTTATAATTATTGGCCATGGCTTCCATCATCTGCCTGGCAATCGCCTCCATCGCGACCTCGACCTAAAACAATGCCTGGGACAGCAATCCTTTATTTGGAGGGCTGCATCCAAAAGTGACTTACTCCCGGAATATTCTACAGCAGTCCTTTATTTGGAGGGTTGCATCTTCATTAAAATAAAATCATCAAAACACCTTACTATAATCCGTTGGTCTCATGTTTTCTTGGTGGGCGCTGCAAGACCTTATAAACAATTAATGAATGAATGAATGAAAACAGTGCTGGCTATGTTTCAGAATTTGTCCAACATTGAATCCAGTTTTCAAGAAGCTCAAATAAGCCACCAACTCCAGAGCTACACTTTCGGTGTCTTTGCCTACGTTCCAGCGCCTGGATACAAGGACATAGGAGTGGACTTTAACTCCGCCCGAGTTTAAGGTACACACTCTCCGCTTGTTTGCCAAAGGAAGTGTCAATGCATAGTATTGCTTAAGTCCCATCAGAGACCAGGCCAAGAAGCAAAGCGAATCACCGTGTATTATAGCGTTGTGAGCATTGCAAGGCTCCCGGCAGCATCTAACAAGGATTTAGCCATGCCATCTCTGTAACGAGAATTAAACGTCATTACAGACTTTCGGGACAATTGCGTCTCCAGCCTCCCATCGACTGGTGAAACGCTAGTCTTTAGGAAACAGTAAGGTGGCAGTTCCAGCAGAGGCACGCCAGTCTTAAACGCTTTTCTAAGGCGATGAAATGGGACTCCGAGACGGCTGAAATCTGGACAGACTTAAGTGTTGGATCAACATGGTTCTCAAGAGACTCGAGCACAATGCATCTCTTGGGCTAGTGAAGGCTTCAACTCCGTTCCCCGAGTCCAAGGTACACACTCTAAGATCTCGTTGTCTTTTCATAGCAGTTTGCAGACGAATTTCTATCCGGGACTGCAAGTTCATCGCCCTGCTTACAAGCATACAGCAAGGGAAAGCGGTGGAATCCAAGTATCTCATGTATGTCAAAGTAAGTCGCTCGAAAAGCTTATAAGAAGAGCGTAAGACTTTTTATGCATAGGTGAAAGTGTTCCCGGTGGAAGACGGTTCCAAGTAGGATACATCGATGTTGATGGTGGGGTTGTGACGAGGATTTGATAGCTGAGAGCAGTGGTACGATGCAAATGTCTCAATTCCAGGCTGCGATAAAGAAATCTTTTTTCGCTTTCATTTATTTTTCGTGCTGCTGTGGGGATACATACGATCAGTGCAGCTTTCCAGGTCTTTCTGGTTCTGTTCTATTCGCGTAGCACGCTGCGATTTTTTTATAATGTACCTCTTACGAGCAGCGGAGCATTCATTCCAGGTGCTAAGCTTGTGGCGGAATGTACACGAGTGAAGCCTTGCACGTCCCTTCCTTACAGGTCTCTGTCTATTTTGGATAGAAACCTCTTTCCTTCTTTTGTTAAGTGTAGTTCTTCCATTCCATCTGAAGACCCTCTGAAGTTACATGACTACCGGCTGCTTGGAAAACCTTGATGAAGCTTATGAGCACGAAAGAGTCGCTTCACAATGCCATGGTCCTCGTAATGAGGATCGACAAAGACATCGCAATTTCGAGGTAGTGGAAACTTTATTTTTCTGGTTACTGAATTCGTTAGCGATGTGCTGGCCACAAAGTTTCCTTGCCTTATAATAGATCACTTCGATTTATTGTGGATCTATTAAGTGAAGCATTGGTAGCTTGCCCTTCCGAGCAAACTATGTAAGCTGCACAGCTCCTGCTTGGTCTTTCAGTTCCTCGGGTGTGTTAAAATGACGGCCATGGGATCAGCACCGACATTCATGGATTCACAGAGAAGGTTTTTTTTGTTTCTGCGTGACATAAAACTTTCTCTGTTTCACCAGCTTCATGTGAGAGAGATAATATCGCGCAGTACGATGGAGTTTTTTTGCATTTTTGTCGAGGTGCGTTTTGGCTTAGAGGGAGTTACGCAAGGTTTACGCTTAACCGGTATCCTCGTCGACTGGAGTGATGGAGGGAGCATTCGTGATGGTTTTGCTGCAAAACGTTCCTTGGGGTAATCCCGACTCCAAGGTCACACTTAAGATTTCGCGTTCCCTTACGTCCATAGCAGTTTGCATATGGTCTTCTGGATCTCATTGTTCTCCGGGACTCAAGCTCATTGGCCGGCTTAGGAGAATAAAGCGGTGGAATGCAAGAATCTCACGTATGTCTCACTCGAAGCTTTCCTGGCACTGGCCAGCTATGTATATTCCGCCACAAGCTGGACATGAATGCTGCAAACTTTCAGTCGCTGCTCGTCATAAGTACGTTAAACAACAAATTCGCGCCAGGAAAGAAAAAAGAACCAAACATATCTGTGTACACTGATCGTATGCATGCCTGTTGACAATTCCAGGTTGCGGGTAGCATTTGCAGCTAGCACGAACAAAAAAATGAAGACGATAAGAAAGAACTCACGTTGACAGTTCCTCCGTGATCGATTACCTCACCATCAACGTTGATGTATCTTCCTTGGAACACTCTTCCACCGGGAACGCTTGCACCTATATATGCATCAAAGATCAAACAAAGCCTTTATACAGGTCTCCGTCTCTTCTCGATAGAACTTATCTTCTTTTATACATGCAGATTTTCCATTCCATCTGAAGACCCAAGAGCACTTGATGGAGTTGCTGAAGATGAAAGATACGAGAGTCGCTTGACATGCCATTGTCCTCGTAATGGTGCTGGGTAGTGGAAACTTTGATCCACTGCCAATGATGATTCCCCACCAATGTGTTGCTTGCCTTCGATTGGAACAAAGTTGGCAAGCTAAAGGTCTTCTTTGTCCCAGTCTTAACCTTTTGTGTTATTCCAGGTGGAGGATTTTAGAAAATTGTAATACACTGGAAAAAAATTTGTCACCCAGAAATGTTAGGCAATCTTTGTATAGTGTAATGTTTGTATGATTTAAATATTGTTCATTTCAATGAATGCTTTGTCATGAATGCTTTGTCATGCTTTGTCATGATGACAACATCATCTCCAAGTGATGATGTTGTCACTTTAGACGAATGCTCCAATTGCCATGTGCTGAAGGCTGGATGCATATATCTAGAGCCTGGAACTGGGAGTCCAATTTGTCCCCTATTCGTCAAAAATTGTGAACCACCACCAAAATTCAAAGTCTGGATGAGCACTTTCCACTGCCAATAAATGTTGATGACAAGTCCTCCTTTGGAGGATGCCGTGAAGATTTGTTGAGGCACAGATCTGATCTTTCTTATGTTCAGAAAGTCCACTTAGAACAACGTGGCGGAGAAAAAAACCACGCACTGCAAAATAAAGGTTGGACAATTTTTGCTTTCATAGGCTACCGATGTATATCCTCTTTGTGGCGTTAATTCTCTTCTTGGTTCTCTCATGGAGTTACAAATCTCACAAAAACGTCCCCCCAGGCCCATGGGGACTGCCTCTGATCGGCCACCTTCATTTATTGGCAGGAACACTCCCACATAAGGGATTACAATATATCTCCAAAAAGTATGGCCCCGTTGTATTCTTGAGGCTGGGAATGATGCCCACCGTGGTTATCTCTAGCCAGGAGCTTGTCAAGGAAGTCTTTACAACACACGACGTGAATTTTGGTTCCAGGCCATACATGGTTTTAGGCGAGCATTTCAGCTACAACTATTCGGGACTTGGGACTTGTCCATATGGGAAGCACTGGAGAGACTCTCGCAAGCTGTGTACTATAGAGCTTTTCACAGCCAAGTGCATAGATTCCTTCGCGTGGATGAGAAAGGAGGAGCTCTCTCATGCCTTGCGAGTGATTCTCGGCGGCAGCAAGCCAGTGAAGATGAGGGCGTTACTATCCAATTTTGCTTTCAACAATATGTCCAGGATTTTGATGAGCAAGAGGTATTTTGGTGACGACGAAGTAGACAGAGATGCTGTAGAGTTTAAGGAGATGCTGAGCTCTGTTGTTGACCTGGTGATGAATCCCTGTGTTAGCAACTTGGTGCCTTGGTACTTGAGATGGCTAGACTGGCAGATCCCTCGCTACAAGCGAATCCATGCCAAGCAAGACAACTTCTTACAAAAGATAATTGACGAGCACAAGGAGACAACACGGGAATGCAAGGACTTCCTTGATATCATGCTCGAGTTCTACGGAACAAATGTCCAGGGGGAAACACACATAAAGGCAAATCTTTTGGTAAGAGTTCTTCTATACTTTGTGATTGCCATAAATTTCATTCCAGGAGATGCTTGTCGCTGGAACCGATACTTCTGCCACCACAAGCGAGTGGCTCATGGCCTCGGTGATGCACAATCCTCGGGTTTTGATCAAGCTCCAGCAGGAGCTTGACAGAGTCGTAGGCGGCAACCGGATGGTCCAAGAATCCGACCTCCCAAAGCTCGACTATCTCCAGCTTGTCCTCAAGGAGACATTTAGGTGCTATCCTCCAGGAGTGCTACTTTTCCCACGCATGTCTACCCAGGACGTCACAGTTGCCGGCTATCACGTTCCAAAAGGGACCACTCTCCTGGTGAATGCTTGGGCCGTGCACATGGACCCGGAAGTGTGGGAGAATCCCACACAATTCCAGCCGGAGCGCTTCTTGGGGAGCTCCATCGATGTCAAAGGCCAAAACTTTGAGCTGCTCCCATTTGGAGCCGGGCGGAGAAAGTGTCCGGGAATGTCCCTGGGATTGCGAACAGTGGAGCTGCTCGTGGCAAATCTAATTCACGGCTTTGACTGGAACTTTGTACCGGGGACGACACCGTCCATGGAAGAGGTTTTCAATAGTTCTTGCTACCTCAAGACTCCACTGCAAGCCATGGCCACTCCAAGGTTACGTATGGACATCTACAAGAACATGATCATGTAAATGTAAAACGTGGATATATTTCTATTTTAAAATGTTTACTTAGGAGCTTTTGAATATGACTACCGCATTAAAGATGATGCTCTAGGAATCAGCATAAAAGACACATTTGACAATTGAACTCCAAGCAGTTGGGATCTCTTGGTTTGCTGATTCGCTCCATGAACTTCCGCTTTTTGGGAGGAATCAGCCCGCAAGCTATGCACAAGAGGAATCGGCCCACAGGTGTTGTGTGGTGGATTGGTCCATAACGATTAAAGCCCATTCTTTGGTTGGCCACCTTAATTTGAATGATGCCCAAGGAGGTATTTACCATACACAGCATAAAATTTGGTTTGAAGCAACCATTTCAACTATAATTGGGGCTTAAAACTTCTTCATATGTAAAGTACTGGAAAGACACTCGTAAGTTGTTTTCCATAGAGCCAACCAAGTGCATCAATTCATTTGTGTAGACGAGGTATATAGTATGGATAATAGAGACTGATTATTTGATATATTATGTAGCTCTTTCTTAGGCATGTTTTACATTCACCAAGTCCTATACCATGTTAATTGCTATATCTAAAATATACTTGAATATTTTGGGATAAATCTTGTATGTATAATGTTTATAAATTATAAACTTTTCTAAACACTTCTTAATTTAATAGTTGATATGTAAAAAGACTAGTAAAGATCCCAGCTTTGCTGGGAAAAATATATGTTGGAGTGAATAATGTATTTGTTTACTTCAAGTTAAAATTAAAAATTAAAAAGATGAGGAAAAATATAATACCACATAACTTACTATGTATTATATGTTTCTATAAATTTAAATAATACCTCACTAAAGTTTAAAAGTTTTATTTCTAATTTAAAATTATAAAATACTTTCTTGTTTTAATCACTTATATGCCTCTCTTGTTGGAATCGTCAATCATCGCTTCAACTCTGTCGCGGTGTTCTTACCAGACACACCATGTTTGCCAATCAACATCCGGTGACCAGAAATTTCTTAAAGCTTTTAGCACTTGGCCATCTGAAGGAGAAAGAAGGAGAAAAAAATTAAAAGTGACAAAAAAAACTCGTTATCCTGTCTAAAACAAAACCATATTTAGTCTACCTCTTGGTCTCTTTGAATATTTCAGCAGCAGCACATCAAAGTGGGATTCTGATTTTGTCGCATGCTTCTGCGAGGTCCAAGATTAGTGATTTGGCCCAGAGTGGCTTCTTCCCGTGAGCTTGCCCTGCAGAATTCAAAAGCAGCTTAATCCAATCACACAAAATCTTCGGCATGCGGGCCACCTTAACAGATAGTCAAGTGTGGCTGTTCCACTGCGTCCAATTGCAAGAGCTAGTACTCGTCTCTCCAAACAGCGGAGAGTTTTTTGTGATTAAAAATGAAAAAGCGTGATCTCGTGCAGTGCTGGAAGACGAAATTTGCAGTTGCCTCACAAGTCATGGTGGAGCTTGACTTGAGATTTCAATCTTCAGTACCCTTATGATGGAGCGAGCATCACTTACGGACCCAGCAATGCCGATTTATAGTTGTGGCTCGTCACGAATCCCTGTCCTTCTCTTCTAGATATATTTGGCCAATTTGATCTGGTAAAATCTTCGTTATGAGACTGTCGAAAAATTCCACGAAGCTCCCATGCTTGCCAGCAACCACAATCCCGATGGTACCACAGAGTTTCCCAATTTGGAGGTCAAGAGCATCCTGGATCACGCTTCTATAGCACCGGATTATGTTGTTGACTGCAACCATGTCGATGCAAAGCCCGAGCTCCTCTTTTTCATTGCATCGAAGACTTGAACTAGACAAAAAGAATAGAAACTTGTCATCATTTTATTGTAAGAAGAAATTTTTTAGCTTACCAGTAGTGGATTGATTTGAGGGCTTCCTACCGCTAGAACTAGTTGCCGTGGCTGTGAATTCGGGGGCGAGATAGTGGAAGCTCGGCTTGTTCCTGCAAAAGGAACTTCATACGTAAGTTAGAAGGCATCTTACCAATTTGCTGGAGCTGCCGGAGCTCGATCCGGATTCTCAGCTGATAGATGAGAACCAAGTTCACCAGTACGAAGATCACGCCAACAGCAGCGCTGGAAAATCCACTTGACCCGCTCATGCATCGACACTATCGCAAGAGAGGTGAAGCCGTAATAATCCAGCAGCCGATCCAAGAAAATCCCGGCCCTGGCGATCCAAATATTTCTCCTTCGCGATGGATTCTGCCACGGACGATCATGCCAGCTGTGGCGATGGAGACCTAGGGGGGAAGAAAGACAACGCCTAGATAGAGATCTTACATGCGACGTGAAGAGATGCGAAGAATTTGGCGGGAATGGACACGTATTGCTCGATGGCGCTGGAGCTCGAGATCCGTCTTTCTTGGATTCCGAGGGACAATCAGCGCAAGAGGAATTTGTGGCTTATGAACTCGATCATATGAGTAGATCTTCTCCTAGAACGAGCTGTGCTCTTTTCCTGGAATTTTTTGTTCAGGTAGTACAAGCGCAATGTTTTGCCACTACTCCCAGGACATCGCATTAAGGTCACGAAAAAAGGTTTCACGGACACCAATAAAAAAAAAAACAAGAACAATAAATATTACTAAAAATAAAAACAATGTTATAAGTAGAACCCAATTTCCATTACAACCATGTGCAGGACATAGAGCACAAGGATCAACAGTTATGCAATTAGGATATGACCCATATAAAACAAAATATCCAAGACAAGCATATACCACATTATCAAGAGCACAAACACTAAAAGGGATACATTTATATAGACCAATTGAACATAAACATATTAAAATCAATAAAGATGCAGCTAAAGAAATAATAAGAATGACAACAGAAGCACCATGGCAAATTGATTTAATAGATTTACAAGAAGAAAAAACAGCTAACCAAACAATTATACAAGTTCCAAATACAAGATCTATTACTGCACATCAAGAAGATATAAAGAGTGATTCACAATTATTAACATCAGATATAATATGTATGCAAGAAGTAAGAACACAAAAACATGAGGATTTATATTTTAATAAATATAAATCATATATACATGAACAATGTTGCATACAAATGACTACAAATCAGAAATAGTAGAACATTTAAAAACAGAAACAATGGCAATGTCATATGTATCACTAGAAAAAAATAAAAAACAATTACAGATAATAAATTTACATAGAAAACCTGGAACAAATATACATATATTCATAAAACAACTACAAAAATATATACAGAAAATAGATAATAAAAAACCAGTAATAACTACAGGAGATTTTAATATTGACTACCAAATAGAAGAAGTAAAACCACTTCAAACAATAATGGAGAAAGAAGGATAAAACACAATACACGTAATAATAAATTAATAGATCATATATGGATAAAAGATATAATATATACAAAAGCAGGAATAGCACCTGCATATTGGACAGATCATAACAAATTATATATCATAATAAAAAATATTTAAAAACAAAAGCAAACCAAGCGTTGCTGCAACGCAACGCGCAGCAATTTTTTTTATTTTTTTTGCAATTTAAATCTGGCATTTGAAAATGCCCAAAACAAAACAAGTGAAAGTGAAACCTTTTTCGTGACCTTAATGCGATGTCCTGGGAGTAGTGGCAAAACATTGCGCTTGTACTTCCTGAACAGAAAATTCCAGGAAAAGAGCACAGCTCGTTCTAGGAAAGATCTACTTATATGATCGAGTTCATAAGCCACAAATTCCTCTTGCGCTGGAATCCAAGAAAGACGGATCTTGAGCTCCAGCGCCATCGAGCAATACGTGTCCATTCCCGCCTATTCACAAGTATCTCTGGTATATTCTTCGCATCTCTTCACGTCGCATGTAAGATCTCTATCTAGGAAGATCTCTATCTAGGCGTTGTCTTTCTTCCCCCCTAGGTCTCCATCGCCACAGCTGGCCATGATCGTCCGTGGCGAGGGAGAAATATTTGGATCGCCAGGGCCGGGATTTTCTTGGATCGGCTGCTGGATTATTACGGCTTCACCTCTCTTGCGATAGTGTCGATGCATGAGCGCGTCAAGTGGATTTTCCAGCGCTGTTGGCGTGATCGTCGTACTGGTGAACTTGGTTCTCATCTATCAGCTGAGAATCCGGATCGAGCTCCGGCACTCCAGCAAATTGGTAAGATGCCTTCTAACTTACGTATGAAGCAGGAACAAGCCGAGCTTCCACTATCTCGCCCTCGAATTCACAGCCACTGCAAATAGTTCTAGCGGTAGGAAGCCCTCAAATCAATCCACTACTGGTAAGCTAAAATCGTTCTTCTTACAATAAAATGATGACAAGTTTCTATTCTTTTTGTCTAGTTCAAGTCTTCGATGCAATGAAAAAGAGGAGCTCGGGCTTTGCATCGACATGGTTGCAGTCAACAACATAATCCGGTGCTATAGAAGCGTGATCCAGGATGCTCTTGACCTCCAAACTGGGAAACTCTGTGGTACCATCGGGATTCTGGTTGCTGGCAAGCATGGGAGCTTCGTGGAATTTTTCGACAGTCTCATAACGAAGATTTTACCAGATCCAATTGGCCAAATATATCTAGAAGAGAAGGACAGGGATTCGTGACGAGCCACAACTATAAATCGGCATTGCTGGGTCCGTAAGTGATGCTCGCTCCATCATAAGGGTACTGAAGATTGAAATCTCAAGTCAAGCTCCACCATGACTTGTGAGGCAACTGCAAATTTCGTCTTCCAGCACTGCACGAGATCACGCTTTTTCATTTTTAATCACAAAAAACTCTCCGCTGTAAGGAGAGACGAGTACTAGCTCTTGCAATTGGACGCAGTGGAACAGCCACACTTGACTATCTGTTAAGGTGGCCCGCATGCCGAAGATTTTGTGTGATTGGATTAAGCTGCTTTTGAATTCTGCAGGGCAAGCTCACGGGAAGAAGCCACTCTGGGCCAAATCACTAATCTTGGACCTCGCAGAAGCATGCGACAAAATCAGAATCCCACTTTGATGAGGTAACTTAATATGGTTTTGTTTTAGAGCTGTGCAGCTTACATAGTTTGCTGAATGCTTCACTTAATAGATCCACAATAAATTGAAGTGATCTATTATAAGGCGAGCAAACTTTGTGGCCAGCACATGGCTAACGAATTCAGTAACCAGAAAATAAAGTTTCCACTACCTCGAAATTGCGGTGTCTTTGTCGATCCTCATTACGAGGACCATGGCATTGTGAAGCGACTCTTTCGTGCTCATAAGTTTCATCAAGGTTTTCCAAGCAGCCGGTAGTCATGTCACTTCAGAGGGTCTTCAGATGGAATGGAAGAACTACACTTAACAAAAGAAGGAAAGAAGTTTCTATCCAAAATAGACAGAGACCTATAAGGAAGGGACGTGCAAGGCTTCACTCGTGTACATTCCGCCACAAGCTTAGCACCTGGACATGAATGCTCAGCTGCTCGTAAGAGGTACATTATAAAAAAATCGCAGCGTGCTACGCGAATAGAACAGAACCAGAAAGACCTGGAAAGCTGCACTGATCGTATGTATCCCCACAGCAGCACGAAAAATAAATGAAAGCGAAAAAAGATTTCTTTATCGCAGCCTGGAATTGAGACATTTGCATCGTACCACTGCTCTCAGCTATCAAATCCTCGTCACAACCCCACCATCGACATCGATGTATCCTACTACCTATGTACCTATGCATAAAAAGTGTTACGCTCTTCTTGTAAGCTTTTCGAGCGACTTACTTTGACATACGTGAGATACTTGGATTCCACCGCTTTCCCTTGCTGTATGCTTGTAAGCAGGGTGATGAGCTTGCAGTCCCGGATAGAAATTCGTCTGCAAACTGCTATGAAAAGACAACGAGATCTTAGAGTGTGTACGTTGGACTCGGGGAACGGAGTTGAAGCCTTCACTAGCCCAAGCGATGCATTGTGCTCGAGCTTCTTGAGAACCATGTTGATCCAACGCTTAAGTCTGTCCAGATTTCAGCCGTCTCAGAGTCCCATTCCCTCTGCTGCAACTGCCACCTCACTGTTTCCTAAAGAGTAGCGTTTCACCAGTCGATGGGAGGCTGGAGACGCAATTGCCTGGAAAGTCTGTAATGACTTTAATTCTCAGGTTACAGAAATGGCATGGCTAAATCCTTGTTAGATGCTGCCGGGAAGCCTTGCAATGCTCACAACGCTATAATACACGGTGATTCGCTTTGCTTCTTGGCCTGGTCTCTGATGGGACTTAAGCAATACTATGCATTGACACTTCTTTTGGCAAACAAGCGGAGAGTGTGTACCTTAAACTCGGGCGGAGTTAAAGTCCACTCCTATGTCCTTGTATCCAGGCGCTGGAACGTAGGCAAAGACACCGAAAGTGTAGCTCTGGAGCTGGTGGCTTATTTGAGCTTCTTGAAAACTGGATTCAATGTTGGACAAATTCTGAAACATAGCCAACACTGTTTTCATTCATTCATTCATTAATTGTTTATAAGGTCTTGCAGCGCCCACCAAGAAAACATGAGACCAACGGATTATAGTAAGCTGTTTTGATGATTTTATTTTAATGAAGATGCAACCCTCCAAATAAAGGACTGCTGTAGAATATTCCGGGAGTAAGTCACTTTTGGATGCAAGCCCTCCAAATAAAGGATTGCTGTCCAGGCATTGTTTTAGGTCGAGGTCGCGATGGAGGCGATTGCCAGGCAGATGATGGAAGCCATGGTCAAGAATTATAAGGGCGATTTTATAATTGGGAAGGTGGCCATGATTGATGAACTAAGTGGGCGAGAGTACTACCTCTTGAGCTACACAGCAAAGGATTTGCCAGTGCCATATGAAGGTAGTGTGGCGACTCATGGGAAATTTTTCCCTCGGGATGCAAAAGGTGTGAGGGCTTTGATCGTCTTTATTGTTGACGAGGATAACGACGAAGCCATGGACGTGAGGGCGGAAAGGGTATGCTATGGCTTTTGTTTTCCACTTTTTTAATTTTTTTCTCTTTTAGGTGTCTGAGGATGGCCAAGTGCTAGAAGCTGTAAGAAATTTCTGGTCACCGGATGTTGATTGGCAAACATTGTGTGTCTGGCAAGAACACTACGACAGAGCTGAAGCGATGATCGATGATTCCATCAAGAGAGGCGAGATTCTTTTGTGCTAAAATGCTATTACTCCTTAGAAAATGTCTAAAACAAAGCCATGTTTAGTTTACCTCTCGGTCTCTTTCTTCTCGCATATTGGTAAGAGAAGTTCTTCTTCGCAAATTTCAGCAACAGCTCATCAAAGTGGGATTTAACATTTGAATATGCATAATATTTGTCTCCGCCGCAATGTGGATCATTGTCGCATGCTTCTGCGAGGGCATCGAGCCCAAGATTAGTGATTTGGCCCAGAGTGGCTTTCTTCCCGTGAGCTTGCCCTGCAGAATTCAAAAGCAGCTTAATCCAATCTCAAGGAAACAAAATCCAACCACACCTGGCCGTGGATCTCGCAGAATACCTTCGGCATGCGGGCCACCAGAACCGATAGTCAAAAACGGCTGTTCCACTGCGTCCAATTGCAAGAGCTGGTACTGGCGCGTGTTGTCTCTCTTAACAGCGAAGAGTTTCTTGTTGTCAAAAATGAAAAAGCTTGATCTCGTACAGTGCTCATCAGCCACGCAGCGCTGGAAGACGAAATTTGCAGCTGCCTCACAAGTCATGGTGACTCCATGCTGAGCCTGACTTGACATCTCAATCTTCAGTACCATTATGATGCAGCGAGCATCACTTACGGACCCAACAATGCCGATTTGTAGTTGTGGCTCGTCACGAATCACAGTCACTTTCTGGTATTCCCTGTCCTTCTCTTCTAGATATAGTTGGCCAATTTGATCTGATGCAATCTTCGTTACGAGACTGTCGAAAAATACCACGAAGCTCCCATGCTTGCCAGCAACCGCAATCCCGATGGTACCACAGAGTTTCCCAATTTGGAGGTCAAGAGCATCCTGGATCACGCTTGTGTAGCAGCGGATTATGTTGTTGGCTGCAACCATGTCGATGCAAAGCCCGAGCTCCTGAATCTCAGTGAAGAGTGCCTTGGCCATGAGATAGTTACCAGCGTTTCCCAGGATCATGATCATCGTTGAGTAGTTGGCCAGGTCATGCTGGAAACCAGGGATCGTCTTGGCCAGGATAAAGAGCTCGAGTGCAAGAGATGCATCGTGCTGGAGCTTCTTGAGAACCATGTTGATCCCACGCTTAAGTCTGTCTAGATTTTCAGCCGTCTCAAAGTCCCAGCTCCCTCCTCCCTCTTCCATTGCCTCATAGAAAGCATTCAAGACTAGCGTGCCGCTGTCTGGAACTGCCATCTTATTGTTTCCCTGGAGACCAGTGCTGCACCAGTCGACGAGGAGGCCGGGGATGCAATTGTCTGAAAAGTATGGTATCTTTCTGTAGAGGTCGACAGCTTCCTGGATCCGGTTCACTCTTGTGTAGCAGGGGATCATGTTGTTCACTGCGAACGTGTCGATGCAAAGCCCGAGCTCCTGGAGATCAATGAAGAGTGCCTCCCGCATGAGATAGTCGCCGTCATCTCCCAAGATCATGATCATCGTGCAGTAGTTTACCAAGTCGTGCTTTGAGCCAGGGATCGTCTTGGCCCACGTAGAGAGCCTGAGAGATGCATCGTGTTTCATCTTCTTGAGAGCAACGCAGACCTGGTGGGGGTGCGTTTTCCCGCGCTTGAGCCTGTCCAGCTTCTCAACTATCTCGGACCTCCAGCTCCCTCCTCCTTCCTTCACAATCTCACACAAAGCATTGGAGACTAGAGCTCCTTTGCCTGGAAGTAAACCTGGTAGCACCACCTTACTGCTCAGCACCATATAGTTCCCCGTTTCTTCTGTTCCTTCTCGCAAGCTCCACACTGGAAACGAGTTCCATGACAAGGAGACCTTCGTCGCCTGGTTGTCCACTGTTACTGACAAAGGCTGACCACTGACGAACTTGTTGCGACCGCAAAGCTCCAGAGGATCATCATCGCTGTCGCTCACTGTCTCGTAGTCCAGAAACTTGTCCTCGACTGCATGGACGTTCCATTGCTCCTTCCCACTATGAAGGTAGAGCTTCCGCCCGTATTCCTTGTGACTCAGGATTGGATCCACGCAATTGCTTTCCTGCTCTTCGGTTGTGTAAGTCTTCTTCCCGAGCTGGTGGTGGAGTGCTGCCACACTGAAACCTGCTTGGTGGTCTGCGAGTTCCTGCTCTCGACTACAAGGTGGTGGCCCGAGCTTCCTACCATGCTTCGTCTTCACGTAGAGATCGTCGTCACGGGGCAGTTCTGTGATCACCATGAGATAGTCGGGCAGGATCATGATCATCACCAGGTCGTGCTGCATTGTCTTGGCCCACGTAAAGAGTTTGAGTGAGAGAGAGGCATTCTTGAGAAACACGCAGAGCTGGTAGGGGTGCGTTATCCCAGCCTTGAGCCTGTTATCCAGCTTCGCAACCGTCTTGAAGCTCCAGCTCCCTCCTCCTTTCTTCACAGTCTTGTGGACGACTAGAGCTCCTTTGCCTGGAACTAAACCCGGCTGACCCTCCTTACTGCTCGCCACCATATAGTTCTCTGTTTCTTCTTTGCATTCCTGCAAGCCCAACGAGTTCCATGAGACATTCTTCGCCTGGTTGTTCACTGTTACTGACAATGGCTGAACA